TTTGGAGTTTAAATCTCCAGTGGTTCTTGAGATATCATGATAACAATCTCAATGTATGGAATTTCATAAGTTGACCTCTGTGACCCTTGACCTTTGACCTACGTGCTCCAAAATGTAATCAGATTGTCTTCCTATGGTGATACACACTATCATTAAGTTTGAAGTTTAAATCTCCAGTGGTTCTTGAGATATTATGATATGGTGATACATACTATCATGAAGTTTGAAGTGAAAATTCTCCAGTGGTTCTTGAGATATCATGATAACAATCTCAATGTATGGAATTTCATAAGTTGACCTCTGTGACCCTTGACCTTTGACCTACGTGCTCCAAAATCTAATCAGATTGTCTTCCTATGGTGATACACACTTTCATTAAGTTTGAAGTTTAAATCTCCAGTGGTTCTTGAGATATTATGATAACAATCTCAATGTATGGAATTTCATAAGTTGACCTCTGTGACCCTTGACCTTTGACCTACGTGCTCCAAAATCTAATCAGATCGTCTTCCTATGGTGATACATACTATCCTTAAGTTTGAAGTTTTTACATCTCCAGTGGTTCTTGAGATATCATGATAACAATCTCAATGTATGGAATTTCATAAGTTGACCTCTATGACCCTTGACCTTTGACCTACGTGCTCCAAAATGTACTCAGATTGTTTTCCTATAGTGATACACACTATCACTAAGTTTGAAGTTTAAATCTCCAGTGGTTCTTGAGATATCATGATAACAATCTCAATGTATGGAATTTCATAAGTTGACCTCTGTGACCCTTGACCTTTGACATACGTGCTCCAAAATCTAATCAGATCGTCTTCCTATGGTGATACATACTATCCTTAAGTTTGAAGTTTAAATCTCAAATGGTTCTTGAGATATCGCGCTAACAAACTCAATACAAGGAATTTCATAAGTTGACCTCTGTGACCTGTGACCTTTGACCTACGTACTCCAAAATCTAATCAGATCGTCTTCCTATGGTGATAAATACTATTCCCGAGTCTTAAGTTTAAATCTTAAATGGTTCTTGAGATATTGTGATAACGGTCAAACGGGACGGACGTACGGACGGACGTACGGACGTACGGACGGACGTACGGACGTACGGACGTACGGACGGACAACCCGAAAACATGATGCCTCCGGCACCACCTTCGGTGGCGGAGGCATAAAAATGCCACACACAAGACTAAAATGTTGATCAGACTATTGCAATTAAATCGTAATACTAAAGGCATTAATTTAATTGTCAAAATATATCCACAACATAATGGTTTACCCTTGATAGTTTGATGAAGGAAAATAAATTAGAGCTCTTGAAATAACATCGAAGTGCCTTTCGTTCGTTCTAAAAATGCGTGTATAACGGCAAGCAGAAGTTACGAGTCAAGCTTGATATGCACGTTTACATCCCTATACCGTCATCCGACCTGATCGGAACAATAAGCATTAAACCAATTAAAAAACATCACAGAAGACTTTAAGGGACTCCAATTCAACAAAATTACCGTAAAATAATTATTTGCTTTGACAAATAATACTATAGATATTCATAATATCTTACAGAAATAATGATATTTCGTGAGCTACGTACTCGATATCGAGTTCAGCTAGCCATCATTTTGAAATGAGACGTAGTTGTCATGCAGTAGACTGTAGAGGGCAGTATGCAGAAGAGAGGAAAAAGCGCGGGCCTGAGATCACGTGATATTCACGTGACTATTACGTGATTTTTTTTTTCCTCTCTAGCTGCGAGCTGCCGCATTCTGCGCTGCATGCATGACAACTACGTCTCATTTCAAAATGATGGCTAGCTGAACTCGATATCGAGTACGTAGCTCATGAAATATCATTATTTCTGTAAGATATTATGAATATCTATAGTATTATTTGTCAAAGCAAATAATTATTTTACGGTAATTTTGTTGAATTGGAGTCCCTTAAAGTCTTACGTGATGTTTTTTAATTGGTTTAATGCTTATTGTTCCGATCAGGTCGGATGACGGTGTAGGGATTTAAACGTGCATATCAAGCTCGACTCGTAACTTCTGCTTGCCGTTATACACGCATTTTTAGAACGAACGAAAGGCACTTCGATGTTATTTCAAGAGCTCTAATTTATTTTCTTCATCAAACTATCAAGGATAAACCATATGTTGTGGATATATTTTGACAATTAAATTAATGCCCTTAGTATTACGATTTAATTGCAATAGTCTGATCAATATTTTAGTCTTGTGTGTGGCATTTTCTTGCTCTGTCTTCAGTGGGTCATAGATCTATTTCCACTTCCGTTTCTGAACGCACCCGATCGGTACCACGAAGCGTGATTCCTTTCTTGCAGCCTCAATTTTAGAGCGATAAAAACACCTACCGTCAACTGAAACAATATCCATTTATTTCTAAAGCATATTTATTTGATTATATTGAAATATAAGTTTGTGAATTCCATATTTTTAGTTCTATATTTCAAAATATCAGTGTGAAATTTAATTTTGAAAAACCCGAAACCCGAAAACCAAAAACCGGGTTTCAGCTCGACGGTCGGGGCCCGGGCGGGGACCCGTTTCGACTCAGGCCTAGTATTTAATATTAAGTTATCAAATTTTGATAACTGTAATTAGGACAAATGACATACCGACCTAATTTACATCTGATTTAGAAATCAGAAAATTAGATCTAAATAAAGAAAATCGCGGAGAAAATGTTTTGACAAAAAAAGCTGCCATTGTTGGCTATAGCTACCCCCACGGTACGAGATCTCTGGGTTGCCATCTGTATTGGGGAATGACAACAAATGTCAGTTTTATTAAAGAAATGACCCAAATCAGATGGTTATTGCTGTCTAGCTTAGGCCTGAGTCATGTCGGGATTTTCATAAACCGGGTCCCGACGGCCTTGCACCGGTCGGGACCCGGTGTCCCGAAATCAGCTCGCAGGATTTGTCACTTGCCTCTATAAAAAGCGCATATCATCAGTACGTCCCTTAAAAGTGACATTTTTATCAGTCAAATAAATCAACACATGCATACCTCGGCACAGATTGGTATATTCTTCTATTTGACATTATATTCATCCATGATTGGCGATGTTTAGTGCCATTATCGTGCCTCTAAAAGTAAAAAAACTCGAGCAAAAATATAAAGACTACAATCGAGCCGCCATTTTGATTTATGCAGGTTGAATAAATCTGGTCAAAAAATATGAATGTTAGAATAATAAAACGGCTTTCTAAAAATTCTTCTGTACAATATACCGATCATATAATATTTTAAAGACAAAAATAAATATTTATCTCTTATTTTAAACATCGCATGCTTTTTTTTAAAAGCTGAAAATTACTTGGTAATCACAAGAAGTTTCGATACGAATAGCTGTTGCAAGGCAAGTTCAGACTAGTCTCGGAAAAATGCGCAGTGCTCCTCGTTATTTGTAATGCGTGCCAGAACGAACCCAAACAAAGACGTAATCGTAACGAGAAAAAAATCATTAAGAACTACGAGAGCACAATTGGAAAGATATACTGCTCAAAATTACCATAATCAGATACTTAACTTGGACAAAGAATTCAATAATCGCCCAAGAAATGCCACAGAAATTGTGATAATCGAGGAGTTACTGGGTACATTTTTATCGCAAGGGGCCTGCTAGCTGCAAATACTCGAATCCTTTGTTATACTGCTTTTTACCGTAGAGGGCGGTATTTGCCTCGTGTTCAATTTAAACACGTTTAGATATATTGCAGCATGCAGGCCCTTCCGATAATGATTGTACCTATAGTAACTCATTAAATATCACTATTTATGTGGCTTTTCTTGGACAACTATTGTATTCTTCCTCCAAGTTATGTATCTGCTTACGATCATTTTGAGTAGTTGTCTTTCCAATTGTGCTCTCGTAGTTTTTAATGATTTTTTTCTCGTTACGATCACGTCTTTGTTTGGGTTCGTTCTGGCACGCATTATAGCTAACAAGGAGCACTGCGCATTTTCCGAGACTAGTCTCAACTTGCATTGCAACAGCTATCCGTATCGAAACTTCTTGTGATTACCAAGTCATTTTCAGCTTTTAAAAGAAGCATGCGGTGTTCAAAATCAAAGAAAAAATATATATTTTGTCTTTTAAAAATTATTCGATCGGTATGTTGTAAAGAAGTACTTTTTAGAAAGTCGTTTTATTATTCAAACATTAATGTTTCTTTCAACCTGATTTATTAATCCTGCCGAGAGACCCGGCCAGTACAGTAGCTAGCTAGCAGCTGGCAACAACAACCCCATGGGGCGAACTGCTTTGCAACCCATATTTATATCAGCAGTTCGGATTGATTCTGGATGAGCTAGAATACGATTGGTAACAATTAAATACTTAAGTTTTAGGGTGGATTGATTTTAGTGGTGTGCAAAACTGCAATTTCTTACATATTTCATTATTTTTTTCGGAGCGCCGGTTCTCAAAAAACAAAACCGGGACCCGACGGCAACGGTCGGGTCCCGGTGTGATCGACCGTACCGACTCAAGCCTAGTCTAGCTGATTATGGCCCCGGGCTCCTTTACTCTAGATCTAAATAGGAAGTAAAGAGTCCCAAAAATAGGAAAACCCCCTTCTTTACTCTATCGCAAATATTTCCACGTTCACACTATTCGACTTTGAGTTTTATCATGAAAGCTGGAAACATCAGCGATATTTAGGCTAGGCCTAATTGTTTTTGTCTTTCTCTCTCCCATCTCTCCTTTTTTTTACCCAACACCAGGTGAACACAGCCACCGGTGACATCTGCATTTACTTCTTTCTTTCCGCCGACTTACTTTTTGTCATAAAAGCCGCTAACATATTGATTTTGACAGATTTTAACATATTTTTGCAAGCATTACGACACACAACCCCATTATTCACACTCTTGTCTTAGGCACCCGCCCGCGCATTCATCAACACATGTGCACCGCATTCCCTACCGAGTTGCGTACAACTCTACACACGCAAATTCACTCACCACTTTCGTGGAGTGTACATATCCACGTATTCTCCTCCTTCGTTTTGCATCTTGACAGGATTTTATCTACAACAGAAACACCAAATATGAGGAGAAATTAATCATACTGACAACTATATCATCTTTACTCATTAATATACATTAAAATTATCATAAATAGACTTAAAAGGGACAGTGTTTCGCAAATGTACTCACATGCTCGACGGATCAGAGAAAAAAGGACGGTTTCGGGACGATATTTTTTGAGCTCGTCCTTATACTCCTTGTAAAAGTCGACCCATAAACAGAGTCGATCCACGCTTGGTCAAGATGCTGATGTTAGAATAAAAGCAGGGCCAGAGGGCGTTGAAATTCCCATCAGGCGCGTACGCAGGATTTTTTCGAAAGGGGGGGGGGGGTTAAAATTTGAAAACCGTGCCGAAAATCGCGCAACGACTCAGCCAGCCACTGAATAAGCGGGGGGGGGGGGGGGGTAAGAGCACATTTTTTTTTTTGTCCCGAAAATTTGAAAAATTGGCCGATCGATATTTCGTTCCGTTGGGGGGGGAGGGGGTAAGGACACCATTTCTTGGTCACCCATTTTTTAATTTTTTTTTTTCAAAACTCGTAACTCGAAGAATGAAAGGTTGTCTCACTGTTGAATAATTAGAGCCTTTGGTGAATATTATCAGATACGCTTTATTATGTTACATTTGCAATTTAAAAAATACATCACGTCATATAAATTGTGCACATACTTACTTTACAAAACTTGGTGAGGGTAAGAATAATTTAGTTGTTAACTGCATGCATGCAGTGGCGTACGCAGGATTAACATTTTGAAATCGGGCCAAAAAAATCGCAACGACTCAGCCAGCCGCTAAATAAGCGGGGGGGGGCAGGCGCGGATCCAGGATTTCTTAGGGGGGGGGGCCAAATTTAAAATTTTGCGAGCCAAATATTGGTACGTAATAGTGACCAACAATGACGTAATGCGGGGGGGGGGGTCGGTGCAGGGAGGGGCGATTCCCCCCTCCCTCCTCCGCGAAACGCGGAAGCTTTGACGTTTTATTAAATTATTAGAGAAAGAAGACGATCCGTTGTACCATTCTCGAAAATAATTCTCGTCTGAATTTAATTTTTCCCCTCCCGCGCGGAGCGCGGAAAAAATTTACGATTTATTAAACTATTAGAGAAAGAAGACGATTCGTTGTCGAGTTCTCGACTCTTAATCCTCGTCTCAATTCAGTTTTCCCCCTTCCTCGTGAAGCGTGGAAGCTTTTACGATTCATTAAATCATTAGAGAAAGAAGACGATTCGTTGTACCGTTCTCGACTCTTAATCCTTGTCTAAATTCAGTCTCCCCCCTCCCCCTCTTGCGCGAAGCGCGGAAGCTTTTACGTTTCATTAAGCCATTAAAGATTCGTATTACCGTTCTCGCCTCTTAATCCTCGTCTGAATTCAGTTTTCCCCCTTCCTCGTGAAGCGTGGAAGCTTTTACGATTCATTAAATCATTAGAGAAAGAAGACGATTCGTTGTACCGTTCTCGACTCTTAATCCTTGTCTAAATTCAGTCTCCCCCCTCCCCCTCTTGCGCGAAGCGCGGAAGCTTTTACGTTTCATTAAGCCATTAAAGATTCGTATTACCGTTCTCGCCTCTTAATCCTCGTCTAAATTTAGGTTCCCCCCCCTTCCTTCCCGCGCGAAGCGCTGAAGCTTTTAAATTTCCTTAAATCATTAGAGAAAGAAGACGATTCGTTGTACCGTTCTCGAAAATAATTCTCATCGGAATTTAGTTCCCCCTCCATCCCGCGCGAAGCGCGGAAGCTTTTACGTTTCATTAAGCCATTAAAGATTCGTATTACCGTTCTCGCCTCTTAATCCTCGTCTGAATTTGGGTTTCCCCTCCCCCCCCCCCCCCCCCCCCCTCCCGCGCGAAGCGCGGAAGCTTTTAAATTTCCTTAAATCATTAGAGAAAGAAGACGATTCGTTGTACCGTTTTCGAAAATAATCCTCATCTGAATTTAGATTCTCCCTCCCCCCCCCCCCCTCCTCCCGCGCGAAGCGCGGAAGCTTTTAAGTTTCATTAAATCATTAGAAAAACAAGACGATTCGTTGTACAGTTCTCGACTCTTAATCCTCGTCTGAATTCAGTTTTCCCCCTTCTGCGCGAAGCGTGGAAGCTTTTACGATTCATTAAATCATTAGAGAAAGAAGACGATTCGTTGTACCGTTCTCGACTCTTAATCCTTGTCTTAATTCAGTCTCCCCCCTCCCCCTCTTGCGCGAAGCGTGGAAGCTTTGACGCTTCATTAAACCATTAAAGAAAGAAGACGATTCATTGTTCAGTTCTCGACTCTTAATCCTCGTCTAGATTCAGGTTCCCCCCTCTCGCGCGAAGCGCGGAAGCTTTTAATTTTCATTAAATCATTAGAGAAAGAAGACGATTCGTTGTACCGTTCTCGAAAATAATCCTCATCGGAATTTAGTTCTCCCTCCATCCCGCGCGAAGCGCGGAAGCTTTTACGTTTCATTAAGCCATTTAAGATTCGTATTACCGTTCTCGCCTCTGAATCCTCGTCTAAATTCAGGTTCCCCCCTCCCGCGCGAAGCGCGGAAGCTTTGGCGTTTCATAAGATTATGAGAGAAAGAAGATGATTCGTTGTACCGTTCTCGATTTTTAATCCTTGTCTGAATTCAGTCCCCCCCCCCCCCCCTCCCCTCCTGCGCGACGCTGTGACGTTTCATTAAATTATTAGAGAAAGAAGCCGATGCGTTGTACCGTTCTCTATACTGTTAATCCTTGTCTGAATTTCAAAGATGTTCTTTGTCTGCTCCTTTTTCTTCCTACGTCCTCTTCCGATTTGGGGGGACCGCCCCCCCCCTCCCCCCCCCCCCCTGGCTACGCGTCTGCGGTCAGATAAACACATTTTGATACCTTGTCTAACCCCGCAAGCGGTCAGATAAGCATTCAGGGGCCCGTCTTAGGGCCCCTGGTGGGGTCGAGGCGGCGGAGCCGGCACTGGAAGCTCAGGGGTTTTAGGCGTTTAATTAAGGTCAGATGAGCATTTTTTTGTATACCTTATTATTTTGTGACACTGGCAGGTCACTATTTGGCGTGGGGTCCAGGGGGCGGAGCCGCCAAAAATCAGGGGTTTGAGGCATTAAATTACCGTCAGATGATCATCTAAGGGCCCGCCGTAGGGCCCTAGGTGGAATCCAGGGGGCAGAGCCCCCGGAGGCTTAGGGGTTTTAGGCATTAATCACGGTCAGATGGGCATATTTTGATGCCTCATTATTTTTTAACACTGGCAGTTAACTATTCTTTCATTCTTGCTCTCATTCTATATTATTTCTCTTTAATATACTTTTTCAAAAAAGTGGGGGTGGGGGGGGGGGGGGGGGAGCTCGGTGCTCCCGATCCCCGCCGTACCTCGGGCACTGACATGTAGGAATCTCAAGAATCATATTTCTTGCCTACTGTAAATTTAGGAATTTGTCATTTTCCAACAAACACATACAAACGTATAATTTACTAAAAAGTGAGAAAAAATCTCGGAAATTATGTCATATCAGCATTATTTGTAATCCACCGTTGTGGAATTAGAAATAAACCACGTTTGAATTTGATTTCCCCCAAGCCCCCCCCCCCCCCATCGGTACGCCAGTATCTCCTCTTTTCCTTTTTTCTTTCCCTTTCCTTCCTTCTCTCTTATTTTTTTGATTGGGGGGAGGGGGGGGGGGGGGGGTCAACAGCCTGGGAGGCAAGGCCCTTTCGCCCCCCCCCCGATCTCCTTTTTCCCCCTTTTCTCTTCTTCTTCCTCTTCTTTCTTTCCCTTTCTCTCCTCTTTCCCTTTCCCTTCTTTTCCTTTCTTCTCTCTTTTTTTTTTTTTTTTTTTTTTTTTGCGGGGGGGGGGGGGCCAAGGCCCGCTCGGCCCCCCCCCCTGGATCCGCGCCTGGGGGGGGGGGGGGGTTGCGGCAGGGGCGTCGTCAAAGGGGGTGTGGGGTGCGACACCCCCCCCCCCCCCCACCTGTCAGGATTTTGTCGGTAAAATCGCGCTGCCGTCGGGAAAAAAGAGAGGGAAAGAGAAAGAAAAGAAAAAAAGAAAAGGAAAAGAAAAGAAAGAAAGGAAAAGAAAGGAAAGAAAGGAAAAGAAAGGAATTTAGAAAAGAGAAGAAGAGGGAGAAAAAAGAAAAAGAGGGAGGAGAGGAAAGAAAGGAAAAGAAAGAAAAGGAAAAAAAAGAAGAAAAATTAGAAAAGGGAAACAAAAGAAACGGGGGGGTGAAAGAGAGGAGAAAGGGGGGGGGGGGTAAGAGTCTGAGAGAGGAGGAGTGGGAGTAAAAGAGAGAGGGGGTTGTTGGGTGGAGTCGTCTCGTCAAGGGACCAAGAAAGGTACGGTTAAACACGTTGCTGTGTCGGGTCAGCTGTGTCGGTATTCTTGCTCGATCGATCCTCTTGTACCCTATCAATGCAGAAGTTTGAAGTCGGTGAGATGTATATTGTCGGTCGGCCGACAAGATTTTTCCCTACGAACTGTGACTTTTTTATCCGCTGTGACGACTTCGAGAGTGACTACAACTAATTGTATGTTCTCGAAGTTTCGCTTTCCTATAATATCAGCTAAAGAAATCAGAGGTTTAAAATTTTCGGGGAAACTAAATTCAAACAAGGATTAAGAGTCAACAACGGTACGACGAAATCGTCTTCATTTCTCCATATTTTGATGAAACGCCAAAAATTCCGCGCTTCGCACGGGAGGGGAAAACTTCTTTTAGATGAGTCGAGCACGGTAGAACGAATCGTCTTCTTTCTCTAATAATTTAAGGAAACGTCAAAGTTTCCGCGCCTCGCGTTAAAGGGGAAAACTGAATTCAGACAAAATTAATAGGGCTTAATTAATAAGACTCGAAAACGGTACAACGAATCGGCTTCTTTCTCTAATAATTTAATAAAACGTCAAAACTTCTGCGCTTCGCGCGGGAGGGGGAGAACTGAGTTCAGATAAGGATTAAAAGTCGAGCACGGTTCAGCGAATCGTCTGCGTTTTCTCATAATTTAATGAATTTAATGAAACTGAATTCAGACAAGGATTAAGAGTGGAGCACGGTTCAACGAATCGTCTTCTTTAATTCTTAATAATTTAATGAAACGCCAAAGCTTCCGCGCCTTCACGCGGGAGGGGGGAGAACTGAATTCAGATAAGGATGGAGTCGAGAACAGTACACCGAATCGTCTGCGTTTTCTCATAATTTAATGAATTTAATGAAACTGAATTCAGACAAGGATTAAGAGTGGAGCACGGTTCAACGAATCGTCTTCTTTAATTCTTAATAATTTAATGAAACGCCAAAGCTTCCGCGCTTCACGCGGGAGGGGGGAAAAATTCGTTCAGACAAGGATTAACAGTCGTTAACAATACAATAAATCATCTTCTTTTCCTAATAATTTAACTGAATTCAGATAAGGATTAAGAGTCGTAAACAGTACGTACACCGAATCGTCTGTTTTTTCTCATAATTTAATGTCCAGTACGGGAGGCCTATCACCGACGCGCGCTCTTAAGTGATTCGCCTGCTCACTACCGCCCCTCCCTAAAAACAGATCCTATAGCTCAGCGCCTGCATTAAAATATATAGCTATGATGCTGACTTAGTTGACGAAATAATTCGTATATTTAAGTCGTCGAGGAAAATGTCAATTTGCGCATACGCAAGTACTATATAGATAGGGTTAAATTTGTAGAAATTGGGACATTTAATTTTGTCGGTAATTGGTGGCTAGTTTTGTCGGTGATCGTTGGCCTCTACATCCTCCATTGAAAAAGGTCTAGCGACGCCCCTGGGTGGGGGGGGGGGGGGTATAAGAAGACATTCCCCCCCCCCCGAAATTTGAAAATTTGCCGATCGACATTACGTTACATTGGGGGGAGGGGGGGCGTAAGGTCATCTCTTTTAGTTTTTTAGTTTTTTATTTTATTACAATAACTGTTATAAGCTACTGAAATCATGGCATTTGATTGACTGAGAGCAAATTTATCACAGAAATTAAGCATTTGTCATTGATATCCAGTTTTAAGAAACCGGGCCCATTCAGCTCCGATGTCTTACTGTGTCTCGCATGCTTCCATTTTTCATTATTCTTCCGTTGCTCTAGATCTATTATCTGCCTTAATTATCCAAAATCTAAATGTTTGATCAAAATCAGATGATGCCTACTAATACTATAAATACAAGTACAACAAATCATAACAAGGGACTAATAATCTTTATTGCAAATCTTTATTCATACATTAAGAAATACAAAAACTAATTGATCCTTCATCTGAAAACCAATTAATGAAACAAAAAATATCTTGAGAATACATACAGAACGCCATACAAAACCCATTATATTATTATCATCAATAATGATATTCATTCATTCATTTAACAGTATTTATATCATCAACACATGTGTTTTATGTTGAAAATTAATGCAATTTCTCATTAAAAATGCAGCTATCAATACATAAAAAATGTACGAAATCATCCTTAAATAGTACATATATCATAATTATTACATGATTTTCTACAAAAAATATATAATATTAGTTTCTGAGTATCATATATTACATCATGAAAAGAAGGAAGTCATGTGTTAAGAGGTTGTCATTCAACATTAATCGAAAACTGGTGGAAACATGTAATTTTGCAAAGTGCTAGTATTGTACAAAGCAATCCTTCTATTCCTTGGTGTCTATCGTTTTGCGCCTACCTGCATGACTGGCAAACAATTAAGTAGTCGTGTCAATCAGCTCGTGTGGCAAAGGAAAGGTTAAACTCAAGATTAAATAGGTTATTTTGCCAACCCAATCTCTTTGTTTTTCATATATTATTTTGTATAGCCTTGATAATAACAAGGTAGTTTCCGTGATACAACATGGGTTTGTGATACCGATGGTCCACAGATGGAATACACTTACTGATTAATTTTGTCTATATAACTCATTCATTCAAACCCTAAACAGCCGGATTGGGGATCGGATTCCTTCCACCTGTAGCTTTTCCATGACAATACTTTGTAGAATTCTTTTCCTGCTCCTAACTAGCTGTGCTTTCATGACTTTAAAGCCTGATTTTAACACACTTTTTGATACCAAATTCATAATATTAATTGGGTGATTATTGAAAAATGCTTCAATTAATAAAAAAAAACAAATTTCATGTGTATACTAATTAGTACTATATTGAGTTACTTTACATTGTATTTATGTGCATTAAGAAACAATGTCTTATCAGGTCTAAAAGTCTCACTATGCATACACACACCACACATATTATAACTACTAAATGTACTTGCAGTACATGAAACCTTTATTTAGATACACAAATTCAACAATAAAAATATGTTATTTTCTTATACAGAATGAAACAGAGATCAATATTTAAAACATAGTAAATATTATGCAATGTAAAATACCTTGCATCTTAAAGTAGCCAAAATGATTGGAAATTGGAAATATAAATGTACAATTACAACAGAAAACAACAGGATGATTTTAATTATCAACATAGATAGATCGTGCAGCAATACCGGTACACAAAATAAGTCATGGGCAACAATGATTCCTATTACAATAGTATATTGGTAATTACAATGCAGCAATTGTAGAAAATAAAAACAATTACAGGTGAAGATTCACACAAGTGTTTAAGCACTTTATTTCTTGAATCACATTTATTCAAACATCCTACATGTATATTTTACAATTCAGCAATCTTCTTTGCTGAAAAAACAAATATTGTTAATATGTAAAAACAATAGGTACAGCATTTCCAATATACATTATGAATATTCTGAGTAGATAATCTGAAATGAATTTGAAAGAAATTGTTCTATTCTACATTTTCTACTCAATACAATGGAAGCTTTCTGACAAGAACATGGATATTCATAGATCTATAAAGTACACTTCATATAAAATCATGAAAAAATGAATATACTAGTCAGTACTGAGAGATTTTGTGAAAGACAATGTATCAGTAATTTACAGTGATGATCATAATTCAGGAGTCCATGTACGTATTTTTATGTTTCTCCTCAAATTCTGTGATTTTATATGTTTTGTTTTAGTGCCCCTGAATAATCAATATTTATGCGGTACATGATGTATTTTTATCATAATTATCACGTCTTTGAAACATGAAATTTTTATAACAAATTACACATATGTATTTTTAATTTTCTTTTTGATATTTTCACTTGCAATACTGAAATACTAAAGTTTAATGGATGGATTGGAGCAATTACATACAAATGATATCAACATTATAGCCTGGTACGATATTTATGTGAAACTAAGGGAATTCCAACCTTAATAGACAACAACTCTAAAAAAAACATAAATATCAGAAAAGCAGACTGGTGAAATGAATCATGAGGTTTTTTTCTTAGAGGACCGGCCTATAAGTAACATTTATATACACCATAATGTAAACCATAAAGTATGGGGTTCAAATCCCTGTCACAGCACTAATGTCCTATGGCAAGACATTATTCTACCTTCACCACCCTTGACCCCGATGTAGTTAATGGGTACCTGGTAGGGTACACCAAGTGCTATGGTTGCTGGAGTACAGGTAATGAAATTCAAAAGTCGTATTGAAGCTCATAGAGACATTATATTATGTGATATATGTGCTATACAAAAACAATATCTTATTATCAATACAATTATTTCAGTAATTACAGTATATTATAATATTGACCTTTTCCCTTGTGATGGCATAGATGATTCACAATTTCAATTGTAACCTTGTCTGTGTTAGTCGACTCTTTGCTCTTCCTTATTCTAATTTCTAAAGCTCGGTAAATTTGTTTTTATACAGTGACTCTTGCTTCACTGGATACAGAATATATACCGCAATATGTATTTTATTGTTAAAGATCTTGAACCTAACAATGTTTAAAAATAATGGTTAGATTATGGTACAAAATGGGTTGTCAAGCATATACATGTAATATGTTAGCATCACTGCAAAGATTACATAATTGTTTATTAAAACACATGTCCAAAAACAATGAGTTATACTGTAGATCCCTATATCCCATTCTAAAATGACCATTCTCTTATACCACACTTTACTGTTAAATGTAATTCCTATGCGGTGGTAACAGTCCAAATTTTATTAAACTCCTTACCGGCCTTGGTCGACCTAAGGAATAAAATGGTCTGCCATGGTTGACTTTTGTCACACATACATGTAAAGTGCATTACTACTAGCCTCCCATAGGTGTGGCAGGCCAGAGTTTCAGTCCATGGCTGACAATGAGCAGTATACCGTCTACAGGTGTGTTGCAGCTGATTTGGTGTTCTTTGGGAAGACATCGACATCAAGATCTTGGTCTGGTTCAAAGGCCCTGTTGATGATGCTGACTTCGTGAGCGCTCGCGGTAGAAGATGTTTCATCTTCTAATCCATCAGTTTGCTTCTTGGCAAAGTTGACGAAGACCTGAAATAATGGAAAATGGATAATGTAGGTGTTGCAGTCTAGACTGGAAACAACAGGGTGCGGGTTCAAATCCCTGCCACAGCATTAACGTTCTTTGGCAAGACATTAATCTTCATTTGGCACCCTCGACCCAGGTGAACAATTGGGTACCTGGCAAGATTTATTTGCTAATATACTTGAGTGCCATAATTATTATCATTATCATTAGTGAAAGTATTAGTATTATAATTACTACTATCATTATCATTATTATTGTTGTTGTTATTGTTATTAGCAGCATTACAATAGGGACTTTTAGATTTGCACAACGACAACGTGGACTGCTCTGTGTGAAGTCCTTTTAAGGCACTAAAAGGACGTCACACGTAGCAGTCCACACAAATCTAAAAGTCCCTAATAACTCTGAAACTAATTCAAGGTTCGTGATCATTTCCAATTTTTCTATCACCAAACAGTGATTAAGTTTTGCCCAACCCCCTCCTTAGTCCAGGTGACACCAAATAAAAATAATAATAATAATAATAATAATACTTCTACTACTAATATTAATAATGATAATTATACTACTAATAATAATTACAATCATGATACTACTACTACTACTACTACTTCTACTACAGACTATCTACTCCTATTAATTACATATGTTACCTCATCGAGAGTTGTTTGAGAGACCGAGTAATCTTCAAGGTTGAGGGTAGACTTTTCTCTCTCCATGATACCAAAGATCGTTGCCACAGTGATGTTGTGTGGAGGCAACTGGAAACGGACCACGTTGTGGTGATGTTCCTGCGAGATGGAGCAGAAGGATGATGTTTGAATCATTTAAAAAAAATGATAAATAAAAATGACCCTTAAATTTCCACCAACATTTAAAGCATTTGCTCTAAATGCACTTTCAAGGAACTTCAACAAGCAGTTTCATTACTAAAAGCAGGCTTGAAATACATAGCATGAGATAACTTGACGATTGAATATGGTGGATTATTCTGGCGTAAGAAGAAAATGTAGTCAAAGTTAGGTAGTCCAATTCAACATTATTTTAGAGTGGGATTTACTGCCCATTGCATGGAGGAGAATTGTACCGGGGTAAGTACTCTACTTGATCTTCACAAATTTGTGATCATGCTACATTGTCATCTCCCTCAGTGCTTACTCCTAAAATCATCATCATGATGAAGAAAGCAATATCAATTACAATCACTATACCAGCACCATCATCCTCACCAACATTACCACATTGGCACAGCCTAGACAAGTTCCATTTGATTTCTTTTCCTTTTAATGTATTGATCAGTGACCTTCTGATGTTTGTATAACTTGTATTTCTTTCTTTTTTACACTTGTAATATCTTTTATATATACATATATGTTTTTTATTAAATGGAATGAATAAATCTTGAAATCTTGAAATCATCATCATCATTATCATCACCAACATCACAATCATCCTAATCATCACAACCACCTTTACCACCATCATCATCATCATCATCATCATCATCACCATCACCACCATCACCATCATCACTACCATAATCACCACCACCATCATCGCCATCACCAACATCATCATCACCATCATTGCCAAACTGTACCTTGAGCTCAGCCCCAGGGAAGCTCCTGTGCACAAACTCAGTAATAAGGCTCATGTCTGTCTTCCCCATCTTCTGACCTCTCACCACCAGGGAGTAGCCGTTACCATGACGATTCTTCACATGCTGAGGACTTCCCAGACAGCAGAACTGGCCATTGACCATGATGGCTAATCTGGTACAAACAGCCTCGCATTCTTCCATACTGCAAAACAGAACAATAAGTACTACAGTGAAACCTGGGACCCGTTTCACAAAGCCTTTTTCCAATGACAAATGACAAATATCAGTGACAAATCTGCTGATAACCAATCAGAAGGATTTCAGTAGCTTATAACACATACTGTCATTTGTCACTGATGACAAGTTTTGTGAAACGGGGCCCAGAAAGACCACTCAAGGGTGACAAGAGGAGTGGTCTTTATGAACAGGTTCCTTCGGTACAGGTTTTTATGAGAAACAATTGTTAAGGGGAACATTAAAATGTGGTCTTTACAGGCAGGTGGTCTGTATGTTGGTAAAGCAGGTTTCATTGTATACTAGATGAAGAGGCCTAGCTCCTACATTCAAATACTTTGTAAAGTTTGCTCATCAGATCATATGAAGTACATGTAAGTGTAAAATATAGCTCAAAATTATATAGGAATTATTGGCCCTAATTATAACATTAAATGGTCTAATTCAGCCAATACAAGAAACATATGAAATATTAAACTTGATATGCAAACAATATTTGACTCATCAACGACTTGTGCAACATTTTGGCAGATCTTGTCCAATATTTCTTGAATTGACCTAAAGGCCATCCGTAGTATTTGAATAACGTACCTATGCGAAGTGAGGATGACCGAGCGGTTATCCCTAACCACATTGACGATACTGTTCAAGACTCTCTGCTTGGTGATAGGGTCCATTCCAGTTGTTGGTTCATCCTTTGTATAAAAACAACCAAATAAAAGTTATCATCCCATACATTTATGATCATCAAAATTCTAAAATGCTTGTTGTTCCTAAAACTAAACAAGACAAATTCGACTGTCTCCTATATGCTTCCGCCTTAAATTCAGGATAGCAAATGGCCGGAATTATTTGTGATTATTTGTCGCTAAAAGCATATCTCTTGTTTTTCAGCATGACAAAGGCATTTTCTTGATGACGTGACGTACGATGTATCTCTTGTACACTTTCGTATTAAAGGAATATTGTACATCAAAGTCAGGAATACCTCTCATTATTCAGCATACCTACACTTATTGTTTGGGGTGAGGTTTCCTTTAACTGTTTTCATCAAAATTGTCACTATATCCTCTTTCTAAACATTTAATTATTTCAATGTAGCGTAATGATTTGTGTCGTCTTAGTTTACTTTATTTTAGTTAAGAGAGTTAAATTTTTTGTGATTGTAATATGTACAGAGCCATGAGCGTCAGAGCCTGGCGGATACCGGCGCTATATAAATATTCATATTATTATACCATTTCTGACAAAAACCATAGCATAGTATTAATAGTATACATTTGAGTTTGAGTTTGAGTTTATTAACAACAAAAATAATAACAAGTAAAACATAATGTATCAAGCATGATTACGTAAAATATAACAATATAACACAAGATCGATAACATTACACATGAATAATATAAACATTGTTTTACAAAGTATGTTGTACACAAATGGAATAAAAGATTATGTGTACACTTTTGTTGTTAAAGGGGGTACCAGAAGTTAGCACAAGTGCTAGTCGAGTCTGGTTCCGTCTTTGGCAAGAATTTTCAAACTATTTTTTACTATACTATATTACATATATATACATGTAACATAAACTACATAATGAAAGTAAACAAAGAAATAGAATAGTCATTTAGAAATATTCCTTACTTAATATATACATGTACGTCAAATGTGTGTCGACTTCCGTATCAAAACCAAACATACAGTAAATAAATAACATGGGTCTTTCATGACGAGGGACTGCACTTACCATGAGGATCAGTTCTGGTCTGCCGAGGAGTGCAACAGCCACAGCCAAGCTTCGCTTCATACCACCGCTGTATGTTGAGATACGCCTCCTAAGATATTTCTCCATCCCCAACTCCTGGCAGATCTCTTCAATAGCCTACAAAAACATATGTATGTATAATTATGCAGGATATCAACGGCTGATTGAAAATCTAACATGGTATTATACAGTAGGCTTATACAATATTGTCAATATAAGATCCATGTACACCATCTAGTCATCTCCAAATTCACATTTTCCCACTTTCGCAATTATACTTGAACCCGGCATGCTGCCTTTGTGAAATATAATAATACTCATAAAAATTACAATCACTGCCACACATATTCTTTCTTGCAATTGGGTTACCTGTGTCCCGTCTTATAAAGACTCAATCGCAACTATGTAAAAAAGAAATGGGAGACTGCAAACTTGCGATTGACTCGGGGGCCCAGTACTAGGCGTTGTGGCGTGCGCCTGTAATCCAGCTAAAAGTGGAAGTTACAAACTGATTCAGCCGAGGACGCAGGTTCGAAACTGAGTCACGTCTTTCGGATGGTGACGTTTAAAGGTCGGTCCCCAGACATAAATAATCATATCCGATTGATACACGTCTATAAAAACCCAATTCACACACACACACACACACTCCACTTTATCTTTAAGAAGAGTGAATAATTTACCTTGCTCATGCCAGAGCTGTTGATTCCTTTCATCCTGGCATAGCAGTAGAGAAGCTCTTCACCAGTCAGCTGAGGGTACATGGCATTCTCTTGAGGGCAGTAGCCAATGCTACAGAAACAAAGAGAGAGACAAAGAGACGGTGAGACAAAGTGAGAGATAGTGAGATAGTAAGAAAGAGAGAATAAGAGAGACAGAGACATAATAAAAGACATTAACATAAAGAGAAATAGAGGGAGATAGAGATACACAGGTGACATACAAAGGGAGGGTTCGGGAGAAGAGGAAAAAGAACAATATAAGAGAGGGGAAGAGATTCAATGAGTCAACATGGATAGAAAATCCACTGAATCACCAAATAAATTGAGCAGTACACCATGAGATACCTTTATTTTTTTTAGACACATTTCTATGGAAATATCAAAATAATTTTGTCAGTCTCCCTGTAATCATTCAAAGCAAATTAAAGGAGACATGAATATCTTACCTCTTAGCTCTCTTTTTGATGGTGCCCTCTGTTGGTGACAGGTCTTCGACGATCATACGGAAAGTAGACGTCTTCCCAGCTCCGTTTACTCCCAGTAATCCAAAGCACTGAAATCAATCAAACAAAGACAAATCTCGAAAATTAACTGAAGTGCATCCAAAAGAGATAAATTTGACTCCAATGACGACTCAAAAAATTCTTCAAAGTTCTTGAAGTTGAAAATAAATGTAAACAGAGTGAACACCAAAGGGAAATGAAAGCTATGAATTAGCCTTCTAATACATCAAAGATATGGACAAAAATTGTTATTCAAGACCCAACTTTACAATTTTGCTGTAGTGCTGAAGAGGGATGAACATAGAACAGTTATTAACATAGCAATGCCTCACTAGAGCAGCAAACACAATGATGCAGCATCAAAGTCAAAGAATCTTACCTCTCCCTTGGATACTGCTAAGCAGAGATCATTGACGGCTACGATCTTTTGACGACCTGGACCTCGGTACACCTGGAAGCAAAGAAAAAGATGGAATTGATCAACACTCATTAACATGTCACTGTTTGCTACTTTAAATCATCATCATCATTATCACCATTATCATCATCATCATCCTCATCATCCTCATCATCATCATCATCATCATCATCATAATCATAATCATCATCATCATCACCATTATCATCATCATCATCATCATCATCATCATCATCATCATCATCATCATCATCATTAGTTAATCATCACCAATACCATCATTATCACAACCACTCTCATGACCATCATCACCAACATGATGATGATCATCAATTCATCATCATTATTGTCATAGTCATAATCATCACTATCCCATCAAAATCAATGCCATAATAACCACCTTCACTACCCGTCCCCCCCTCCCCCACTCCGTGAATGGAGGGATACCAAGCGTGTTACCAAAATGTCTGGTAAAGGGGTACTTTTCAAGCACCAAAGTCTGACTCGTAGTACACAAAAATCTGGCCCGTATTGACTTTACACACAGGACTTTAGGGGGTATTTTCAAAAGGAGGGAACATGCATACCGGTGCGCGTACCCTTAATAACACTGAGTGGGGGGGGGGGGGGGGGGTGGGGGCTTCACTATCATCATCACCAACAGTACCATCACCATCACCATCACCATCATCATCATCATCGTCATCATTGTCATCTTCATCATCACCATCATCACCATCATCACCATCATCATCACCAATCATCATCATGACACACAAATATCACTGTCCTCTGTAGCACACACATTGATTTTAACCAAACCTACCTTTCTGACTTCCGTCAGAACCAAGGTGTCTTCCTTGCTTCCTCCTCTATTCACCATCTCCATTTCCTCCCTCACATCTTCGTTGTCATGGTAACCGGGTAGGAGGTTATCCACATTAGGGTCCAAGCAACTGAGTAGTAAATTGTTACATCATTACATTCTATTTATCTGTATATTCAAATAATCTTTAAAAAAATGTTGAAATAGTAATTTTTGTTACACTCATGTTTATCATTCTCATTCATTCATTGGAGAGTGCTTTACTACTGCACTACTATACCTGTACACAATGTATTTACTTTACTAACTTTCTTCTTCCGTTCCCTTTCCTTTTCTTCCTCTCTCTCCCTCATTAAGTTTTTTTTTTATATACGCTATCTTTTCACTAATCTCCCATGACTCTCTTTCTCCATGTAATTAAAGCTATTTCATATATTAAACAAATATTGACCGGTAGGGTGATTAATATAATATTTTTTTGACAGCGAGGGAGGAATATTTTCCCGCGCGATCATATTTTCCCTCTGAATATTTCAAATACTCTTCCTCTCTTTGATGTCACATTCTTTCTCTCTCCCTTTCTCTCTCTCTCTCTCTCTTTGTACATAAATTGTACAAAAAGATACGTTTTCAACGCAAACTGCATAAATATTAAAAAATCATAATTTCACTACAAAGGGAGAGCCACATCGTCTGGATATTGAGCTGGTAAATGCATATGTGACCCGGCACCACAAAACCAACAAAAAGTCGCAACCAGCGATTCTCCGTAATCAGCTAAAATGTCAATTTAGGTGAAAAAAATAGATTTTTGTTTTTTTGCATTTTCTGAAAGAGTGGTCTTTTCTGTACCTAGTATCAAAATTTGGAAGTCTAAAACATAGTAGAAGATGTGTTTTAAACGGTTTTTCTAGACCAGTTTTTTTCGCACAGCCTTCGGTCTCTTCCAAAATTTGATCACTTTTCCCGAGCGAAATTATCGTAGTCCGGAAATGGTCGGTCGTTGCTAACGGGTCGTGCTACGCGGGCTGTGATTGGTCCGTTATAGCAATCAGTGCGGCGCGCCATTTTGTTTGTATCCGCTTTCACATCCGAGTTCCAGCAGTGTTATGTAAGGGGGAACAAAAAGACTCCGGGTCCACCATGAATAGGCATTGTCTAGTGCAGGTGTCTCGCCACTATGTTGCAGTTCACTTAATCTGTCCAATTACAACTCTATACATTTACAACATAATAACTTTTGAAAGACTTAAGTCCACACATTGAGACCTCAGAAACATAATGAACAGACTATGTTTGACCATCAGGCCAAATTTCAGCCTAATCTGAAAATCTCTTCATAGTGGTTGCTATGGCCTTTTGATTCACCCTTCTATTGATTTCCCTGTGGTTTGCTTGCTCCGCATGCTTGAATAGCCCCAAACTTTAAAGCTCTCTTTCTCACAATTTAATACCAGTAACCTCCCTCACCAGCTCTTTTCATTCACTAAATTGAAAGGGTTAGGAAGCTTCAATTTGGACAAGTAATATACCATTTTAATGAGGAGAACTTCTTCTTTCATAATCAGATGAAATCAGGAAAATAATTTTTTGCGACTTTTTGGTGGTTTTGTGGTGCCGGGTCACATATACCATCTTGATGAGATTTAATGTTAGCTAAACTTTTATCCAAGTATGTCAAAAAAAAACCTTTTAACTAACAAACATCACAATCTATTACGCATCTAGCTTTCCTAACACGTCTTTATATGCTATATGACATTTTGTTAAGCTACCTAAGTATGCTATAACAAGCCTTTGGTAAACCACTGCAGCTTAGGATGGCATATTGGAACAAGTTGCAAGGGGTCAAGTAAAATGCCATATCCTAGAAATGCAGGGAGTTGTTCATTTCCAACAATTTATTGTTTAAAACACTCACAAGCTCAGTTTTTATGACTGCAAAGATTTTTTAAAATAATCAATCATCATCAATAGTGATCTGTCAGTTTATGACAGGTTCAGTGACCGAAATCAGAAATTTACATCCAGTGTCTCTCCAAGTACCTCGGTCTTGAGCCATTTGTTTGAGCATTTCATATCCTGTTGCTCCACATTCTGCAATTAAATCATCTAGAAAGCCTTCACGAGGTTTTTCCCCTCTTCTTCTTTCCATAATAATCAACACACCATGTAAAATCTAATGAAAGTGAATCAGAACTCACCTGCTGCAAGCGCTGTTCCTGACAGCATCCACGATGAGCAGAATCAGGAAAGCCAACCCGCCCTCTGCAGCCAAGGCAATGAAGTGCCACTTGAGGAAGACGAAGGGGTCCTCATAGATACCCTCCTCCATTCCAAAGGCTTGATAGATGTCAGCCAGGGCCTGGTTCTGGATCAGAGCCAGCAGGCCAGACGAGAGGCAGTAGGGGCTGAACACCAAGAAGACGTAATTGAGGATCTCAAACACCTGCTTTTCCCTCTCAGACACCTGCAGAAGGGAACAACGTCAGGATAAGTCAGAGGATGGATTTGGAATAAAATGATGATGATGATGACGACAATGACGATGATGATGATGATGATGATGACAATGATGATGATAATGACGATGGTGGCGACGACAACGACGATGACGATGATGATGGTGATGACGATGGTGGCGAAGACAACGACGATGATGATGATGACGATGATGATTATGATAATAATGGTGACGATGATGATGATGATGATAACGGTGATGATAATGAAGATGACGATATTGATGACGATGATGATGATGATAATAATGGTGAAGATGATGATGATGATAATGGTGATTGTGATGGTGGTGGTGTTAATAAAGTTGGTGATACAAAGAATAATATTCACTGTAATGGTCAACAGACCCCCATTTCCACCCCCCCCCCCCCCATTTTCCAGGCTTTACAGCTTATATCAATACTAACAAGTTACCAAGTGGCAAAAAGAAATTGTAAGCTTAACTATACATTTTCATGAATGGATATTTGACCTGTAATAACTTATATTTCAAATTGCTTTTCTTTTGATATGTATCCATGTTTTATGCTTCACTTTCAATTGTTTATTTATATTTTCATTTTCATTTTTTTAAAAATTATCTCTAATTTTCTCTCTAATATCAGAGCCCCTCGGCTAATGCAGGGGTAAACATAGTAAAGTCCTTAGAAGTATTTGTATTAGGTGACATATAAATGCTCTTATTATCATTGATTAATCTAAATTTGCCACACTCAACCCAGGTGAGGTAAATGGGTACCTGGTAGGATTATTCCTTGTCATGCAGTGTGTGCTGATAATGGCTGCCGCAGCTAAAGCTAGGGTAATGTAATTTATGTAAAGCGCACTGATATGTCTTAGGACAGGAATTGCGCTATATAAGTGGTACGTATTATTATTATAATTATTATTATTATTATAAAGAACGGACAGATAAAGAAATCACTAATTACAATTATATATTATATATATTGGGAACAAACAATTACTGAAAATAAATACTTCTTATGAAAACTATCATTTAAGATATAGATAAGACAAAGGGAAAGATATTTTTTTCAATCTCCACTCACCGCATTAACAAGAACGAGAAAGTTGGGAAGGTTGGTGATAACGGCTGCAAGAAGCAGGAGACAGAAAAGGAAGATGAACGCTGTACCAGACTCTTTGAAGAAAGGAATTAAGATGTAGATCTGACACATGATGGCAAATCTGTGATGAAGAAAAGGAAAAATAATATTTATTTATTTATTTGTTTTTAATTTATTTCGGTTTAAAAAAACATATAAGTATACATGATTCAAAGGTCCAAGGACCAAAACTGATCATGTTTACAAGTTATACAATACAGTAAATATACAATAGTGAGCCAAACGACAGGTATGACAAGTACAAGATGGTAAAAAAAGATTTAAGATTTTAATAAAGTATTGTGTAAGGAGTAGAAGAAATACATGTACATGTAGAATTATATGAGATTACATATTTATGTGTCATGTTCTTTATGTTGAAGTTCAATATCAAAGGAGCTAATTTTTATGTAATCTGGAATACAATTTCCTCCTCATCATCCTCAACGACAGAGAGCCATCTCTAATAAAACCTTTACCATGGCTATAAGCGCAACAACCAAAAGAGTTTTTGATATTATTATATGATATTATATTATTCTTTCTGTCACCATCATCATCACCATCATCATCATCACCAACATCACCATCATCACCATCATCATCATCACCACCATCAGCATCATCATCATCATCACCACCATCATCAGCATCATCATCATCATCATCACCATCATCATCATCACCATCATCACCATCATCATCATCACCATCATCATCACCACCATCATTATCACCATCATCATCATCACCACCATCATCACCATCATCATCATCATCACCATCATCAGCATCATCATCATCATCACCATCATCATCATCACCATCATCATCATCACCACCATCATCATCACCACCATCACCATCATCATCATCACCATCATCATCATCACCACCATCACCATCATCACCACCATCATCATCATCATCATCACCATCATCATCATCATCACCATCATCATCTTCATCATTATCATTATGTAGCACTCACCCATACAAGAAGACAAGGGCCACAAAGGCACCGACGTTTGAAGTCAGGATAAGACCACGGAAGTCAAAGATATAAAAGACTAGCAGCATCAGTCCAACTGGGATACAGAAACTCAGCTGTAATACAGGAATAACAAATCATTATTTGCTATGGATCGAACTGCTTGACCACCACATTGTCCAGAGTGAATAGTAACTGTTAATGGTTGTCTGTTTAAAGCCAGAAGGGTGCTATAACTCTGTGTTCCACAAATTTGCTAACCAATTTGCTACACTAACTGAAATCTTAGCTTCAAATCATGGAATATACACTGTATCCAACCCTAACCCAACGTCAGATTCTCACCCCACACTTACATACAAGAAACTAAGAAATTATAAAAGCTTTGACTATGACTGGGGCTTTATTGAAGTCTAGCTCTCATTCACCAACTCTTCTAAATCTGCAGGCGCATACATGTACATTTACATAACCATCATAAATATGTACAATCATCAATAAGAATTTAAATTCATAACACATTGCCAGAATAAAGCCAGGAGCCAATGTCACAAAGCAATTGTCACTGAAGGAATTGTCGTAGAGCAACAGTCCTCAGAGAAAATGTCATATCAACAAACGTACCATATCCCAGAAGAGATTAGTAAGCCAGTAAGTGAGAGTGCCGACGCCCGAGACGTAATGAAGCCGTTTGGATCCGTTGATGTTTTCATTGACGAGGAACATGGAAAACGCAGATGGGATGAGCACTAGGGCAGCAACGATGACGATAACGATACCGAAAGTCTTTGCCGCATCCAGCCAGCTGGAGGATAAGTTCAAATGATAAAATTAAGAATAATTATCATGAAATTGGTATTTCTATTTATAAAGGGCAGGACAGTATATGTTATGATAGAAATAACTTACTGTTTACATGTTTACTGTCATACTAGCATTTGTCAGTAGAACATCTTTTTGTTTCGTATAGTTTATCAAAATACTGTCACAATTGCACATGTAAAAGAAGACCTATAAACTAAAAGACTAGGCCCTATCTTTTGCCTCCTAAAATGTGTTTTATTTGAACTATCCTCATTTAAATCAAGGATTATGTGTGTGCAATCTTGTACACATTAGACCCAGTAAGTAACCCCTATCATAATTTAGCCAGTCTAAGTCTATAGAATGCAGTTAACAAATATTAGTGGAGTTTAGCCGGTTCACTGGATGTCTCGAAAGTGGGCACTGCATATGGCAGGTCATTCATGCCACAGGTTGCTCTCACCATTATGTCTCTCAATTATGATCTTTAGATAATTTTTTCCTTCAATAATGAACTATTAAAATATGTAAATTTTGTAGATTTGTTACCATAATTTGTACGTCCCTTGAGAAACCAATGCCAGGAATGGTTAGAGGATATAGTGGCATGAGCGGCCTAAGTCCAACTTAGAGTCAATCTTAGTCTTTGTGACACACAGCCCATTTGTTTCATATTTTTGTGAAATAAATAGATGACATTATAAAAATTATGATTATACCCAGACGTCCTGTGTCCAGACAAGTTGTGTATCCAGACAGTTGACTTAAAACAGCGATTTGAGGAAGTTTACAAACAATATTGTACAAATTTTGTAAGACTTTATTGTGTTGGGCAATATAAAGAACAAATATTCATGATGGTTAGAGCTATTTGATGTATATTTTTCAGCAATCTGAAGGCAAAAGAGAAGGCTTCATGTTTGTTAAGTGTCTAAAAAAAAACATCATTTTAGTGTTTCATGCATATAATAATAATAATAATAATAATGATGATATTTAATTTTAATATAGCGCTTAATACAAATGTCTCTAAGCACTTTACAAATATACTGAATCAATGGACTCAGTGCTTGCCCGCACACACTGTGTGCACAATCTCCATTCCCTGGGGAGCATTCCAGCCAGGCGTTACTTGACGCTCAAAAACTGTTTGACCAACAATGACGGCCGCATCCTACCGGGTACCCATTGGACACCTGGGTGGAGAGTAGCAAGTGCAGGTTAATATCTTGCCAAAGGATATTAGTGCTGTGTCGGAATTTGGACCTTGACCTTCGCATCTCCAGTCAAGTGCCTTAAACCACTCAACCACGACACTAGTATAGTAGTATTACTTACATGTTAATGCCAAGGTCCTGTTTGGAAAGTTTTAATGGATGGTTGTACGCTGTGATTCCTGTTCAAATAACAAAAAGGTACAAAAGAATATTTTTGCAGTAACATGAGCAGTAGACTGAAAGAAAAACAAAACAAAACATGATATGCATTAATGCAGAAACCCCTCCTGTGATACCCCTAATATACTCATGTGATATACATGTATGCCCACAACTCTTACAAAATGTGTAGGGACAACAAAAACAACAAGAACAAAAATCGCTGTGTTTAAATGGGCAAGCTATTAAAAACTATACAAAGTCATGATGATTAACTAAGGTGCTTGTCTCAATAATAATAATAACTAGAAATTTAATTCGTCATGGGGACGAATTAGGTGGTCTGTCTTCAATTCTTATGATCATGCTCATCTTCAATTCAATTAATTTATAAATTGATATTAATGTAAAATTATGTATTAAGATATGAATTGATGAATGAAGTACTGATAAACTGATAAACTGATAAATTGAACTGATGTAAAATGAACTGAATTGATGAGCTAAACGGATGAACTGATGAACTGAACTAAACTGATGAGCTTAACTGATGAACGAAATATTGAGCAATTATGATGATGCATAATTAAGTAATATTGACTGCCTTCTGGGCAATATGACGTATATCGCCTGAACCTAAGGTGAGGATGATATATGGCAAGTCGTATTGCCCTGAATTAGGCAGTAAATATTTCTATTATTAACCACATCAGATATCTAGAGCAAACAAGAAACTCTTACTATCTTATACTATCTTATCAATTATAAATTACTATCTTATAAATTATGTAGCCTACACTCCACAGGATTTCCTAGCATTAGAAGTTGCAAAAACATCGTCAAACAAGCACTGTGCATCCAGTGCTTGACGAATTTTCGATACACTGCAAATAGTGTGCAAAGGGTCTGATTGTGACGTCACAATAGAGTTCGTGCATGGTGCGCATTACATTGTCATTGTCACCAGCAGCTGGTGCGCGATGTTATTAACAACTGGCTCGATTATTTCTCACGAGTTTGACACGCAAAAAAATGTGGGGTCAACTTGCATCCTAAAGAGCTATAATGTATTTCATATAGGCATGTTTTTGACCATATATGCTATGTATTACAAGAGCTCGCACGCAGAGACATTTACCTTAAACGGACGCTCATTTCGTTATTAATGGTCATAAAGAGATAAACATGGTATCAAATTGTTCGGAAAAAAAATGGGCAATACTATGATAGACAAAAAATGACGATTTTAGTTTGCGTTCGATCATTACGAACAAAAACGTGCGCGCAAATTTATGCGCGCGCAAAGGTGTGCGCACGCAAAATTTTCGAAATGCTTGAAATGGCCTAAAACGTACTCTAATTTGATTAAAAAGTGATTATGAGCATTTTTTATTTTTACGCGCACCAACGTACGAACGTACGCGTGCGTTTATTGACCTCAAGTTAACCGGACAGATATTGACCTTAATCGTTATAAATATGAATGAGAAATGATTTACGGTTATGAAGATATGATAATGAGTTGACTTTCAGAGTACTTCACAAAATGGCGCCTGGATGACGTCACGATATTTTAATGAACTTGAAAATGTTCCTGTCACGTCTTAATATAATGACCTCTGACTGGGTCAAATTTGAAAGAAATTGGACGATTCAATTTTGAGTAATCGTGCACACAAAATAGTGGTCACAAATTTATTTTAATTGAATTGTGTTTTTGTACAAATTCAATTAAAATACTAGAAATTTAATTCGTCATGGGGACGAATTAGGTGGTCTGTTTTCAATTCTATGATCATTGAAAAGTCAAAAAAGAAAAAAAAAGTGAAGAAAAAAATTGTTGGAAACTCCCGGACTCGAACCAGGGACCTCAAGGTCGGAAGTCAAGCGCGTTACCGATATGCCAAAACATTTCCCATAGAGATTACACGTAAACGGAAAATAGAATTCACAAATCCCACTTTGTAAGTGAAATATGAGCATGATCCCGGCATCTGATCGAAAAATAAAGGGCACACTTGTGATAGCTTATTCTCTCAGCTACATCATACTCAAAGCTCAGCGAAAACACAGCTAAAACGACGGAGATATTGCTCGCAAAAGACAGGATGTAGAATCCAGTTTTGAGAAAAAGTCATGTCCCATAGAGAATACACGCAGAATGTGAAAAATTGACATGCCACCTTTAATCGCAAAAATACGCCATGATACCTTTGTCAAAATAAAATATTGTGGTAACTGTCTTTGTAGAAAATTGTCTCAGGTAGATCATATCAAAATTTGGAAGAAAATCGATCAATATTTACAGAGATACAGTCAATTTTCCAGAAATATGCTGACGTCATAATATGCAAATTGAAATTTTGAGTTCGGAGGCCATTGTGATGACGTCATGAGTTAATTGAGGGTCAAATGAGACATGAAATCATATCTCCAATTCATACTCTATCAAAATATGAAAACAAAATTGGGATCACTTTGCATCCTTAAGCGCTACAATGGATTTTGTATAGGCATGTTTTTGCCCATGTATGCTATGTATTACAAGAGCTCGCACGCACGGAAATTATCTTAAACGGACGCTCATTCCGTTATTAATGGGCAGAAAAAGGTGAACAAGGTATCAAAATGCTTGGGAAAATGTGCCAAATTTGATGACAGAGAAAATTTGGCGATTCTATGTTGAAAAATACCAGTACGCGCGAAAACGCGCGCGCATTTGCGTGCGCGCGTTTTTTTTGCAAAATGCTTAGAATGGCCTGAAACGTATGCAAAATGAATTTGGGACGATTTTGAGCATTTTTATTTTTTGCGCGCGCGCTGACGCGCGGACGTACGCATGCGCGCGCGTTTTCTGACTTGAAATTGATCGGACGGATATTGACCTTAATCATGATAAATATGAAAGAGAAATGCCTTTCCGTTATGAAGATATGATCATGAGTAAAAAGTACCAAGAAAAACACAAAATGGCGCCTGGATGACGTCATGAAGACTTGATGACCTTGAAAATGTTACACTGACGTCTTATTACAATGACCTATGACTGTGCCAAAATTGAACGAAATTGATTAAACCGATCTTGAGTTATCCTGTTCACAAAAAAGTGGGAACAATAAATAAAAATAAAGAATAATAAATAACTAGAAATTTAATTCGTCATGGGGACGAATTAGGTGGTCTGTTTTCAATTTGATCATTGAAAAGTCAAAAAAGAAAAAAAAATGAAGAAAAAAAATTGTTGGAGACGCCCGGACTCGAACCAGGGACCTCGAGGTCGGAAGTCAAGTGCGTTACCGATATACCAAAACATTTCCCATAGAGATTACACGTAAACGGAAAATGAAATACTCAAATCCCACTTTGCAAGTGAAATATGAGTATGATCCCGGCATCTGATCGAAAAATAAAGGGCACACTTATGATAGCTTATTGTCTCAGCTACAACATAATCAAAGCTCAGCATGAACAAAGATAAAACGACGGAGATATTGCTCGCGAAAGACGGGAATGTAGAATCCAGTTTTGAGAAAAAATCATGTCCCGTAGAGAATACACGCAAAATGTTAAAAATTGACATGCCCCCTTTAATCACAAATTACGCCATGATCCATTTGTCAAAATGAAAAATCGTGCCAAATGCATTTGTAGAAAATTGTCTCAGCTAGAACATATCAAAATTTGGAAGAAAATCGGTCAACATTTACAGAGATACAATCAATTTTCCAAAAATATGCTGACGTCAAAATATGAAAATTAAAATTTTGAGTTCGGAGGCCATTATGATGACGTCATGAGTTAATTGAGGGTCAAATGAGACATGAAATCATATCTCCAATTCATACTCTATCAAAATATGAAAACAAAATTGGGATCACCTTGCATCCTTAAGCGCTACAATGGATTTTGTATAGGCATGTTTTTGCCCATGTATGCTATGTATTACAAGAGCTCGCACGCACGGAAATTATCTTAAACGGACGCTCATTCCGTTATTAATGGGCAGAAAAAGGTGAAAAAGGTATCAAAATGCTTGGAAAAATGTGCCAAATACGATGACAGAGAAAATTTGGCGATTCTATGTTGAAAAATACCAGTACGCGCGAAAACGCGCGCGCATGTGCGTGCGCGCGTTTTTTTGAAAAATGCTTAGAATGGCCTGAAACGTATGCAAAATGAATTTGGGACGATTTTGAGCATTTTTATTTTTTGCGCGCGCGCTGACGCGCGGACGTACGCATGCGCGTGCATTTTCTGACTTGAAATTGACCGGACGGATATTGACCTTAATCATGATAAATATGAATGAGAAATGCCTTTTCGTTATAAAGATATGATCATGAATAAAAAGTACCAAAAAAAACACAAAATGGCGCCTGGATGACGTCATGAAGACTTGATGACCTTGAAAATGTTACACTGACGTCTCATGACAATGACCTATGACTGTGCCAAAATTGAACGAAATTGATTAAACCGATCTTGAGTTATCCTGTTCACAAAAAAGTGGGAACAATAAATAAAAACTAGAAATTTAATTCGTCACGAAGACGAATAAGGTGGTCTGTCTAAGTCTTATGATAGATTTGAGAATGGGAGAAGTTATATAGACATGTAAACAATGATGATCATGATGAACATGATGATGATCATGATGAACATGATGATGATCATGATGGTGACATTGATGATGATGATAATGATGATGATATTGATGATGATGATGATGACGATGATGAGTATAAGCATGATCCTGACATCTGATTGAAAAAAATGAGGAAATATATAGATAGCAAATAGTCTCAGCTACAACATGCTAAAATTTGGGAAAAAACTGTTGAATAAGAACCGAGATACTGGTTGAAACACATTGTCATGCAGATTCATGTTTTGAAATAAGTGACCTCCCATAGACATAACACGCAAATATGACAAATTATGCATTGTCGCCTTAAATCGAATATTTTACTATGATGACGTCAGATAAATGAAAAATAAATGACATATTTCTAAAAGAAAA